AACCATCTACCCATCTACCGCATCTGGGGAAACCTTTTTCAACATTTCTGTGGTTGCTGACCTCAATGATGTGCTTAGTGCTCTCATCAATGCTTTCTCACTGACATCTCTGTACAGCCAGTTACAAGACCTCAACTTTCTTATTGCAGTCTTGACATGGTTCACATCCACCAAACTACGCCACACAACATTACTCTTGGTTGGCCTACCATTGACAATAATGTACAACTCTGGGTCTAGTAAGAGAGAGGTATGCTGTTGAACCTTGTTTAAGGTTTCTATGGTCTTGTTTAGTGGCAGGCCTGCAGGGAATTGTATCTGGGCACTTTACCAGTGTAAGTACCTAGTCTCACAACAGTCTGGTAGCACTGTGCCCTCTGAATAAGCTGTCTACTAAGAAGGTCTAATGCAGCTAGTTCTGGGGGAATAGGAACAGTCTGCAGACCATTGAGAACACAACGTGCAGGCATTATCCCAGCTCTTACTCTGCGCTTGCAGTAATAGCACATGTACAACACTTGACCTGAAACAATTGGAGGATACTTCAATATATGGGCCTTCAATTGATGCCATATCTCAGAGTTAAAGTCATCATGGAGACTAACAACAGACACCGACTTTCTCTGATGCAGACGCTCACAGCAAATGCATGCATGCTCTGGGAAGTCATCAATTTCCTTTTCTAACCCAGCAATCAGTGCTGCATGAGCAATAGCTAGTTCCATCTCTAGATTAGGCCTCCTAAGAGCTGAGCATTGAACAGGAATGAGTTTTTGATAGTTTTGCTCTACATTACAACTCAGGAGGGACTCGACCTGTGTGATTTGTAGCAATCTCTGGTGGTTACCATTCTTCAAAGCATTGTCAATATCACGCACAATCCTGTGAGCACTCAGAGCAGATGTTACATGGGCCAAAAACCTCCTCAAAACAGGGAAATGTGTGGAAGCTGCTCTGAGTATTCTCAGGGTACTAGTACAGCGCTCACCAGAGTAACAAACAATGGGGTGTCCTCTAAGGTCCACAGGTGCAGTATCTACTAATTTGGTGTAGTGACCATAGGGGCATCCCATATCACATTCAGCCAGGGCCTGCCTGACTTTCTCAACAGGCTGCTCAAAAGCAGTCCTAAAACAAACAATGGCATTGACCTCAAATTCACTTAGTGGTTTGCACTGCTTTGAGCACTCCCACATCTTAGACTGGGCAGGTCCTCTGTCAGAAACTTTCCCATCTGAAACACAACCCACACTTCCAGCCTGAGAAAGGTTACTGTTGGAGGCTGTATCTTTACCTTCTCCATTCTTACTGCCAGCCTCCATAGGCACTTCTTTAGCAACAATGCCCTCCCCCTTCTCATTAACAGGGATTGGGGACTCTCTATCATGCAGGTAGGCTGCCTCATAAAAGTAAGGCTCTGTCAAACTAGTGTGGCAGCCTTTTCCAAAATGATTGCATTCTTTAAATGTAATAGACTTAATAAGTTTAATGCTAGCCAGCAAAAACCCTGCATGTTTCCTGCGTATTTGTAAGGCTTTGCAAACTAGTCTTTTAACTGCAAGTCTACCAACAGTCTGTTTCAACTCTGCTTTACTTAGTGTATCTGCTACACCAGCATGCAGGGACTCGAACTCTTCTTTGAGTCTGTTAAACACTTCACCGTCAGCTAGCAGGTTGGCGTTAACACTCCTATAACACTTTTCATTCGTCAGTTGGTTAGGCTGCGCCAAACTGTATCTAGCCTTTGTCACTCTCTTTAGTTTGGTATGAGTGTGATATTTTCTGAAATACCTTAGCCTGGCACTGCGATGGGACGCATGATACTCTTGAAATGCTGCCAGCCTGGCACTACGGTGTGAGGCATGATACTCCCGAAACAATGCCTTCGTTTTTTCAGGGTTGGCTTTATAAGCTGCCTTGGTAGCTGCACGCTTTTGTTCAGGATTTACATCATAAACAGATTTTGCAGCGGCCTTTCTTTTATCAGCATTATCTCTATATGCAGCCCTATCAGCAATATTTTTCTTCAATGGGTGCAACTTATACAGGGCCCTAGAAGCTGCCTTTTTCTTATCAGGGTCTGCACAATATGAGGCCCTAACAGCTGCCTTTTTCTTATGGGGTCTGCACAATATGAGGTCATAACCACAGCCTTTTCTTATCAGGGTCTGCACAATATGAGGCCCTAACAGCGCCTTTTTCTTATCAGGGTCTGCACAATATGAGGCCCTAACAGCAGCCTTTTCTTATCAGGATCAGCATGGTAGGAGGTCCTAGCCACAGCCTTTATCTTATCAGGGTATGACAAATAAAGGGATCTATCTCTAGCTTTTATACTCTCAGAATTTAGCACATAATATCTTTTGAAACCTGCCCTCTTTTTTCTTGGGGAGCGGTAAGGCATTTTCCCAGCAGAGAAATTGAACTTATCTGAAGATGCCCGGGTGTTGTCTTGGGTGTTGTCTTTGCAGCGATAACTACCAGCAAATCAGCGACAGAGGGCAGTGAATAGCACAATATTTCGGAGGAAAGAACGGCAGGCGCAGGTAGAGGGCGAGAGTAGACGATTTGGAGGAAATAACGGCAGCTGTTAAAATGAACGAGGATTCACTTGCAGCTAGAGGGCGAGAGTAGACGATTTCGGAGGAAAGAACTGTCAGGCGTTTTCTTATCAACGAGGACTCAGTTGCAGCAGGGCGAGAGTAGACGGAGTTGGAACAGGTATCGCCAACGACGGCAAAGACGTAGAAGGAAGAGGTTCGCGATTCGGGAGATACAGGACCAGGGTGCGGCACGAACTCGCAGCAAAGTGCGTCGGGGTCGGTGGGTACACCCAGGCACGAAGGAGTGTCGTGTACTAGCACCTCCAAATAAACAGCTTTGGAATAAAAGCAAATGCGCAAATTACTGACAATATCCATTGACAACTTGCAGAGCTTACATTGAAAACAAAATGAGTAACTGTGGCGGCCCCAACTCCAGAAATTGAACTTCGCAGCAGGGGCCAGTACAAATACACCGAACGGGGTGTCGATGTAAGGCATGCACCTCAGAGTAAGATAGAATACAGGATTATACGCAATATTATCGTAATAACAACACTTACTTGTGTACAAAAACAGCGCAGTGAGTACACGTACTCGCACCAGCTCTATGAAAGAGACTGAGAAGGAGTGTCGTGTAGAAGAACAAGAAGTCGTAACCAGACTCGGAAGAAACGGGAGACCCGGGCAAAAGTAGTCACTGGCACAAAAACACGGCCAAACGGAGCTCAACGGACGAGAGAGCGAGCAGGTCTGCGACCACGCGGCTTTTATCGCGCGTCGCGCGCGGAGCGCTCGTATGGCACGCGTGGGTGGGGTCTGGACGAGCGATATCCGTGAAAATGGCGTAGTCTTCTGTGAGCTATATAGTCCGCCGGTAATCTTCCGTAGCTATAGGCGACAAGAAAACAAGCATCGCTTTACGACGATGCACACCTCCACCATCGCAGGACACGTTTAGTGAGAAATTTAGCGCATCAACTAGTTCCACTAAGGAGAAAGCGGGTCTGAAGAAGAAGAAGAAGAAGATGAAGAATATATGATGATGACGCGAAAATCGTGAAATCGCGTAAGAGCGGATTCTCGTCTTGAGAATTGCAGGTACGTATGATACTTTTGGGAACATAAATAGCTAGATATGGGCCCGTGAGTGATTTCTGGTGTATTTTGAAGGCATAGCTAGGCGTTCTCGCCGAGTTTCGAGGCGTTTTGTACCCGGATCACGTGAGATTTCACTCGTGTCATCCCTACATAGAGCGTCTACCGACGCTCTGATAGTACCTATAATATGTGGTTGTGGATGTCCCTAGGGAGGGAAGTAAACGCTC